AACGAGAGGCTTAACAGCTGCTAATGATTCAGTCATCATTGTTACTGATGTCGAACAAAATGATCCAACTGCAGGTCATCTCCCTAATGGAAATAAAAGCCACCATTGTCTTAGTCCAAATCTTGATCAACTAAATGCAAATCAACTAGATGCAAATGATTCACTAAGACAACAGGTTTATCATTACCGCGCCAAACAACACAAAGCATTCCTCCAAAAACACGATTGTGAAAGCGAATTGCGCAAGATGCCTTTCCCTGCAAGACCTAGGCGTTGTGGCTCTATACCTAGAATTCAAGACTCAAATCACCCCTCTATAACTGATCGACATCTAGTCAGAAAGATCCAACTAAAAGATCCAACTGCCGGTCATCTCCCAAATGCAAATAAAAGCCACCGGTGTCTTAGTCCAAATCTAGATAATCTAAATGGAAATCAACAAAATGCAAATGACTCTCTAACGCAACAGGTTCATCATTACCGTGCTAAACAACACAAAGCATTCCATCAAAAGCAAGACTGCGAAAGCGAATTGTGCAAGAAGCCTTTCCCTGCAAGACCCAGGCACTGCAGCTCTATACCTGGAATTCAAGACGCAAATCACCCCCCTATAACCCATCGACACCTAGTCAGAAATCGTGATCAAAATTTTTTATTAAAAGCGTCCAGGAGAAACCACCGTCCAAGGAGAAACTACCGTCCAAGGCCGCCTCGGAATCCAACAAGGGTCCATTTCTGGCAGCCGCCAACGCTTATAAAGCCCCTGATAAAGTTCAACTCGAGTCTTCAAATAGACCCCATAGAACAAATGAAGTCGTGGAAGGAATACCTCCACTATGTTCATCGAGTAACACGGAACAATATCAGCCAGCAGAGATGAGAATACCTACTAGGATTACTTACAGAAAAAACAAACGGCGGGAGCGCATCTGGGTTCCCAATTTTAGATTATTAATCCCATTGAAGACTCCTGTTACGACCCACGCTTTCCCAAGATTTGGTTTAGTAATGTTAGGTCGATGGTCAACAAGTTAGACGAAGTTTCTGCATCAATTTCTATCGAACTGTGTGACGTTGCCGTAATTACTGAAACATGGTTAAATCCACAAATAACTAACGAGTCTATACGTATTCCTGGTTATGTATCTTGCCCACGTGATAGAATGAATAACCAGCGCGGTGGTGGTCTTTGTTCCTATTTTAACTCAAACCTTAATTTTACCGAATTAACTGACTTAGGCGATCCTGAAATTGAGAGTCAATGGTTTTTAATCAAAATGGATCGATTACCCCGAGGAATAAACTCCATTATCCTGGGAACAGTTTATCACCCCCCCCCAAAGCGATGACCACGCGCTTCGAACGCATATCTTCAAATGTTTAGATTCCTCACTGGCAAACTATCCTAATTCCGCTGTCCTGGTTCTCGGAGATTTTAACCAATTTAAGCCAGGAAATCTGTGCAATTCCTTTAGATTGAAAACTCTGGTCACCAAGCCTACCAGGGGAAGTAATATCCTTGATCAAGCATTTTCAACTTTATCGGCTTACTACGATGCTACCATCCTGCCACCTATTGGCCAATCTGATCATTCTAGCATATTACTTCAACCCACTTCACCACATGCTCCAAGCCTACCTACCACACGACTCCCAAAGCGTGATTATCGTGTTTCCAACAAACGAAATTTGATATCCTGCCTGGACTCGGTCAATTGGACACCGCTCATGAGGCGAAATTCATGTGACGATCAACTGGATTTGTTCCAGTCTGTGGTTCATGGTGCTTTGAATTCATGTATTCCCATGCGTACTGTTAAACTCCATCCCAACGATAAACCATGGATTACTCCCGCTATTAAAGAATCCATTAAGAAACGTCAACAAGCTTGGTTGAATAATGACCTTCCCAAATTTAATGTTTATCGCAATAAAGTGATAAAACTCTGTAAAAGTGCACGTCGAAGATTCTATAACAACAAAATCAATCACATGAACCAGAGCAATCCTAAAAAGTGGTGGGACGGTATCAAGCAGTTGTCAGGAATGTCCAACCCCCCTCCGTTTAATAGTCTAGCCATAAACGGCACCGTCTTGAGAGACTTTGAACTTGCCACCGTCATTAATGAATCCTTCTGCAGTACTGCTGCTGATATACCGCATTTGAATTTCACTCCAGTACCCGTTTCCAATGTTCCTGATAGATACGTCATTACGCGTGATGCTGTTGAACTTGCATTGGCAGGTGTTAACGATCGTAAGTCTGTAGGACCTGATGAGATCCCCAATTGGATCCTGAAAACATGTGCCGCAAATATTAGCTACCCTGTATGCTCCATGTTTAACTCTTCCATTAGAGAAGGTCGTGTACCTGATCTGTGGAAATGCGCGGATGTTCTCCCTTTAAGCAAGATCCCTACACCGAAATCTATTGATACGGACCTTAGACCTATATCCCTCACGGCAGTACTGAGCAAGATCCTTGAGTCTTTCGTGTTCAATTGGCTTGCACCCATTGTTATGCCATTCATTGATCCCCTCCAGTTTGGCTGTGTGAAAAAGTCCTCAACGACTCACGCCCTCGTGCACCTAATCCACCATTGGCTTTCGGCCCTGGAAACACCTAATACCATTATTCGATCCTGCTTTATTGATTTTTCCAAAACGTTTGATCGAATTGACCATAACATTCTAATGCGCAAATTACAACTCCTCAACGTTCCACCCGTGTTATTAAACTGGTGTTCAAGTTTCCTTCAAGGCAGACAACAGCGCGTTAAATTAAAATCTTGTAAATCTGATTGGAAAGAAATCAATGCTGGAGTTCCGCAAGGCACAAAACTGGGCCCTTTGTTCTTTCTTATAATGGTCAATGATCTATCCAGTGAACTACCGCTGTACAAGTACGTTGATGATTGTGCTATTTCTGAAGTTGAAAACTAAAGATTTCACCGTGTCCTTCTTGATCAATCAACCCCCGGCACAACCCTTGCTTGTCAATAACCTACCTCTGGAGGCTGTGATCTCTATCAAACTTTGTCAATAACCTACCTCTGGAGGCTGTGATCTCTATCAAACTCCTGGGAGTAAATTTAACCTCCGATCTCAAGTGGACCACACATATCAGGCACATATCCTCTAAAGCAAGCAAACGCCTGTATGTCTTAAGGCTAATGGTGTCCAACCTAGTGATCTTAAGGCGGTATATTGTAGTTTCATCAGACCTGTCCTGGAATATGCATGTCCAGTTTGGCATACCTCACTACCTAATTTCCTCACCGTTGAATTGGAACATATTCAGCAACGTGTGTTCAAAATTATTTTTCCCCATTTGTCCTAAACCGAAAGCCTTAAAGACCTGAATTTACCTACCTTAGAAGCGAGAAGGGAACGGTTATGCAGAACCTTTTATAAAAATAATTATAATGACCCTTCGGGTAAAATTTCTAGTCTATTACCCATTACTTTTAACCCATGAGTACGATCTCAGACATCCTCGATCGATCTCTCTTTTTAAATATCGAACGAAACGCTATAATGATAGCTTTTTGCCGTATTGCATACGTAAATGGAACTCATTTTAATATTTTAATATTTTAGAACCTAATGTTAGCATATCTTTTTGTAGTTATGGTATTAACATGTTAGTAATTGTATTTCTGAGTATTTTATCACTGTAAATATGTAAATAGTCTTATTTCTGATACTTGTAAACTTGTGTTTTTCAGTTCGTTTTTGAACTGCCATTCAAGTATTTTAATAATAATCACGATCACAATCACAATCACATCTGCAATGATCATCAATGGCTAGGTGGCGAATGTGACCATGAGGAGGGTTAGCATGATGAAACTCTCCCTTGGTTTGATCGACGAGACAAAGATTTTGTTGAACTGCAAAAAGTAATTTTGAACCCAGAATTACTTGCTTCTTTCAAGTATTATACCCGGTTCAGGTAAGGAAGAAAAACTGGTTGAGATAAGCAATCTAGTTTGTGGTTATTTTCATTTATTTTTTATTTCATCTAATAGGCATACTGGTGGTATTGAGTGTGCTAATAGCCTTGGTTTAGTCTACACCCCAAAACAAACGCCCTTCAGGTAAGCCTTTTGTTAACAGGATGGTATAAACCTTTAGTACTTATCTTGAAATGCAAAGTTGTTTGTTAGTTACACAATAGCCTTGAACTCCTCTTGTGTGGGTACAAATAATTCAAAGATTATTACACATTGCTATTTGATTTAGCTATAGAGCATACAAGGCAAGAAGGCAGCTCACTGCAATTGATTGGAATTTCCATATAAATCTTCCACAAGCAACAACAAAAGCTGGTGAAAATTTGGTTACTAGAAAATATAACCCAAGGACAAGGCAGTGGGATAACAAAGTTGTGAAAGTGACAAAGAGCTATGAATATGTGCCAGTGCTCATTTCGAAAATATTTAGAAGGAGAATTGGTGATAGTGGTGGCGTGACACAACTTGTTGCCCTCAATACAAGTGACCCTGCTTTAATAGCTCCAACAATTGCTCATGTCCCACCTCCTCCTACTAAAGAAATTGTTGAACGAAGGAGCAGATTTACATAGACATCTGTGCAAACAAGTGAACAGCCTGAACTCGCAATTAAATCTATTGACTGTACATAAATTTATAATATTACCATCTTGATATCTATATGTATATACTTAAAATAACAATAAATTACAGTACCAGGGAGCAGTTGTATGGAAGTTAGATAGTGCTATTCACCAGATAGTGCTTTTTTATCAGTTATGAAAATAATATCGATGTAAGAATATTAATAGCAACTCAACAAATGGCAACTTTAGGGCAATCAAAAAAACACTATCTGGTGGATAGCACTATCTAGCCTTTGTACAACCAGCCCCTGGTGTGCTAGAAATATTCAGTTTCAAAAAAATACTTTTGAGTTCCCAATTCTTTTTAAGAAACCCTTTATGTTTCAAACTTCATTGTCCCCATTTAAAATTATCTGACTTAGTGTTCCCTAAATCCCATGTAAATTCCTGTGATTGATGGAAAACGTTCCCTAATTTTTAAAACAACACATGAGGGGCATACTCGTCTGTTACCCCTGCCCAGGTGACCATGCCGTGCCAAAATAAATTGTCTATATGCTGCCTTTCTAAATGCTCTTGTGCTATTATCTTCCCTGTCATTACGTATATCTCCCGTATTTCTTATACACAGCTCCAGCACATCAGGGTCGAGGCATAATTTTGTGAAGCGGGAAGAAAGTGTGATGCATTTTTTTAATTTACAGCACTTGTTCTCAACCTCCTGTGGCATGGGTTGACATCTTCCACAATTACACCAGTCAGGCTTATTTGTTCCAAAGTGCTCTGGATCTTGGGTGGGTGGCTTATTTGGTTGATCCTGTGCCTCTGGATCTTGTGTGGAGGTTCCATGCCAAAACTGACTCTCATCACCAGCCTCATCCAGGTCATCCTCCATTAGTAACAAGGAGTGTATGTAGTCCATGCTACCAATTCCCCTGCGCAAGCCTCGAATTGCAAGCTTTCTCACCAAACTCTCGTCCAATGTATCAATGAAGTCCTGCATCAAAATGACAAAATAAATTCACAAAGTATAAAATGTTAAAGCATGATAAATTGCCTCTGCTATGTGCCTATATAAATTCTACCTTAACGTCCTTGTGCTCTTTTTCTCTCTGACTTTCCTCGGATTCCATGGGATTGTGGCTCAAACGAAAACCTTGCGCTCCGCCGCTTGATTTTGCACGTGTTCGTGCTGCTGGTCTGCTTCTGTCGTCTCGCTCTCTGTCGGGATTTTCTACTATTTCCTAAAACAAAAAAAGAAATATTGTCAGTTTGAAAGGCTTTCTAGTCAAAAGAAGAATATTTTCTTCGGACTTACTCTATTCTTGCAAGGTTTTGCACTGGTACCGCATTTACACTCGCTCGAACACAATGAGTTATTCCCTTTGCATGGACAGCCTCTATTTCCCTTTCTCTTGGTGCTACACGAGCTTTTGCAATCACAACGGCTTGCTTATACCGTAAAGTTATAATAACAAGTTCAAAATTAAAAAACTTGCTTTCTTATATGCAAATATATGGAAATTTATACTTACCATATTGATTTTCCTCATATTGTTTTGCTTCACTCATCCGTATGGCGACATTTGTTCCGAATGATTTCCGACAATTTCCGATCATTTTTGTTATGCGCAGAAAAGATGCGCACGAGGTGACACAGCTCCTTTAACTATCTGTTGGATATATTTAATGACTGTAATTGTAGAAGGGTCAATGTTCTGTGTTTGACCGGCATGCTTGAGTTGCGTTTTAGACAGATAATAGTCATATATATGCATATGGTAAGAGCTGGTATGTTAAGGATTTCCCGTATCCAGTTGGCAAAACACACACTGGATCTTCGTTATTGACAATTATCTTCTTTATAGTTTTGAACTGTTGTGGTTTTAACTGAGTTCCTTTCCTTCCCATTTTCTCCAAAGAGAAAGCCACTGCCTTCCTAAGTACTATATCTCTCTCCATATTTATTTAATTCGATATTACTTGGTAAAACGTTTACTATAATTACAACTTCTTTTGTAATAGATTTGCTTTTCTTGCACGTATATAATAACTAATAAGTTTGCATATTCTCCTCTTTCACAAATACCATAATGCTTTGCGCTTTGGGGGGTTATTTAAAAAATATTTCCTTTGTACCATTTGTTTACAATTTTACACTGTTAATAATGGGTAAAAAAGACTATTCTCCTCTTTCACAAATACCATAATGGTTTGCGCTTTGGGGGGTTGTTTAAAAAATATTTCCTTTGTACCATTTGTTTACAATTTTACATTGTTAATAATGGGTAAAAAAGACTATTGTTGTGCTCCTGGATGCTCAAATAACCGAACGAAATACCCTGAACTACAATTCTACAGAATTCCGAAAGAGAAAACTAGGAGAAAGAGCTGGCTAGCTAGAATTAGGCGTGATTTTGTCCCTTCTGAAAACACACGACTGTGTTCTTCTCATTTCGCTGACGGCGTGAAAGTCAGATGAAAGAACCAGTCGAAATTTATTCCTTCGATTTTTGAATACTCTCACTTGGCACAAACAACTCAAGGACCACGAACAACAGTGTCACCAAAGACACAGCATTGGAAGTTATTACAGAAGAAGCGAAGCTGAAGAGGCAAGGAAGAATGCCGGTAAGCCAGTCCAAACTTCCTTCCGATTTATCTTTTCCTCAAAGGTTTGATTGGCATGTTTTTTTTCATAGACCAATCAGATACGCTTTTTAAAAAACAGTTGTTGTGATATTTAATAATTCATAACCTGTTCTATAACATTCAACGTTTGCGCACTGTGCAGCAATTACTAAAATCCTTTATATTTTAACTTAGGTACCCACTCGAAAAGAGAGGCCTAAAGGTAATCCACAAGATGATAACTTTGGAAGGCACAATGTTTGGGGAGTATGCCTTCCTTCAAGCCATCCTCTAAAAGCACATGATTTTGTAGAACACAGGCTTATCCAGACAACCTAAACTTTGATTCAGAAACCTTAAAGCATATCAATGACTTAGAAAGTAGAGTACAGAAACTTGAAGAAGAAAACAAAAATCTTCGCTCACGATGCCTCATTTTAGCCCAATTGAAGCATGATGATCCTAGCTTTCAGTTTTGGACTGGATTTCCTAATTATGGTTCTTTCAGTGCTTTGTTTCAGTACCTGGAGTGTGCTTTGAATTAAAAGACCTTTGCCAAATGCTAGAATCCCTGGATGAAGGAAATGCCAAGCACTTTTCCAATTTTCTAAATGTGAAGATTATCATTGATTGTACAGAAATTTTTACAGAGAAACCATCATCATTGCAAGCATGCAAAGAAATATATTCCAATTATAAATGGCACACAACATTCAAGTTTTTAGTTGAAATTGACACACATGCAGCAGTTGTTTATGTTTCTCGAGCATGGGGTGCGCGCACTTCGGACAAACATATTACATCAAACTGTAATGACTTACTAGATGCAATGAAAGAGGGGGATGAGATAATGGCTGATAGAGGATTTGACATAGATGATGTCTTAAGTGTTCCAGGTGTTAAAGTTATCATCCCAGATTTTAAGGGGAAAGACCGCTCACAAATGAGGGGAGTTGAAAGTAGAAGGTCAGAAAATATAGCAGTGGCACGAATGCATGTGGAGAGGGCAATACAGAGAATCAAGATTTATCGTATTCTTCGAACTGAAATACCTTTGACTATGACACACTTAGCTGAGCAAATATTTACTGTTTGTGCCTATTCAGTTAATTTCCTGTCCCCAATACTACAATAGGTTGACAGTTAAATATTGAAAAGAGCATTGGAAACAAAACTTTTCAATATCAAATATTTCAGAATCATACTTTGATATATATTTCCCTAACATATTATTTGTCTGTACAATAAATTTCAGTATAAGTAAACTATATGTACAATTCAACTATATAAAGTTTTCAACAATGGATAAATAAATTATTAATGCATTTCATTAATATTACCAGTGGGTAAATAACTTATTGTAAATTGTGTTGCCCATATATATGTGGTACTATCAGTGAGCACTTTATATAGTATTACATTACTCTATTTTTAGAAACCCTTGGGGCAGCCCTAATAATTCAATGGTATTTGTATAATAACTATTCCACTCTTACAACAGTGCTGAGAGATTCATATGTAATTCCAAGTTTACCAATTCTACTGTGTCCAAACTTAACCCGGGGATATGCAGGCTCCAATAAAATAATGTCATAATAAAATTTCCTAAGGTTGCAATTGCAACCATGATGATCATTATGATGATCTTGATCATAATTAGCATAATAATCATAATAAATTATGGTTGCCATGGCAACCATGATGATTATTGTGATGACCATGATCATCATTAGTATAATAATCATAATAAATTATGGTTTCTGTGGCAACCATAATTTTCATTATGATGATCTTAATCATATTTAGCATATTATTCATGATAAATTATGGTTGCTATGGCAACCATTATCATCATTTTGATGATAATGATCCAAATTAACATAACAATCATAATAAATTATGGTTGCAATTGCAACCATGTTGATCATTATGATGATCTTGATCATATTTAGCATATTATTCATGATAAATGATGGTTACCATGGCGACCATAACTTACATTATGATGATCTTTATCATATTTAGCATATTATTCATGACAAATGATGGTTACCATGTCAACCATTTTCATCATTTTGATGATAATAAACAAAATTAACATATCAATCATAATAAATTATGGTTGCAATTGCAACTATGATGATCATTATGATGATCTTGATCATAATTAGCATATTATTCATGATAAATGATGGTTACCATGGCAACCATAATTTTCATTATGATGATCTTGATCATATTTAGCATATTATTCATGATAAATGATTGTTACCATGGCAACCATAATTTTCATAATCATGGTCTTGATCATATTTAGCATATTATTCATGATAAATGATGGTTACCATGGCAACTATAATTTTCATTATGATGATCTTGATCATATTTAGCATATTATTCATGCTAAATGATGGTTGCTAAGTCAACCATTATCATCATTTTGATGATAATTATCAAAATTAACATATCAATCATAATAAATTATGTTTGCAATTGCAACCATAATTTTCATTATGATGATCTTGATCTTATTTAGCATATTATTCTTGCTAAATGATGGTTGCTAAGTCAACAATTATCATCAATTTGATGATAATGATGATAATTAACATATCAATCATAATAAATTATTGTTGCAATTGCAACAACGATGATCATTACGATGATCTTGATCATATTTAGCATATTATTCATGATAAATGATGGTTACCATGGCAACCAAAATTTTCATTATGATGATCTTGATCATATTTAGCATATTATTCATGATAAATGATGGTTACCATGGCAACTATAGTTTTCATTATGATGATCTTGATGATATTTAGCATATTATTCATGATAAATGATGGTTGCCATAGCAACCATTATCATCATTTTGATGATAATGATCAAACTTAAAATATCAATCATAATAAAATTATGGTTGCAATTGCAATAAATGATGGTTGCTATGGCAACCATTTTCATCATTTTTTTTTATTTTATTATTATTATTAATGGTTTAAAATACACACCTTCGCAATTAATTGAATTACGGTGGGTTTACAAAAATTATGGAAGTAGCTATTATTTACAGTATACTTACACATTAAAAAGTTAAAAAGTTAAGTCAAATCTAAGTTTAAAATCTTATTGCACTACTCACAACGATACTCATATTAAAATATTACAGCTGAAGTTATTTACTGTTATTCAATAAAACTACTGTACTAGGAAAGAAACTACGGCGGTATCTTTCTGTTCGACATTTTATTGGTGTTAATGTGTTCGAGTTTCAAGTTCATAATCATTTGAACAAGTTCTGGTCAATGGAACATATTTTGCCAAAGGTCCTCCTTTTTCAATACTTTTCATTGTATCAAGGCAAAGTTGCTCTCGTCTTTCATCCAATCTGGAACACCCAAGGCGTGCTAGAACTTCCTTATTGGAATAGCCCGGTAAGATAATTCTCAGAGCTCGTTTTTGTACTCGCTCTAACTCTTCAGCAAGGTATAAAGGTAAAGAGTGGTGCCATACAACGCAACAGTACTCCAGAACAGATCGTATCAGGGCAAAATATATACTTAGTAAATCCTCCGCGGGAACGCCACCTCGTCGTAAAGAGCGGATGATATATAAACGTTTAGAAGCCTTGGATACAACTGACTCTATATGTTCATTCCATTTAAGATCACTTTGAATAACCAGACCAAGTACTTTATGAGACCGCACAACATCAACAACGTCAATCATTAATGGTGATAATTCGGGAGTTCTCCTGAGGAAACAAACACGTAGTTCCTTGCATTTCTTGGGATTGAGTTTCATAAAATTACTCGAAGCCCAAGAATTGATTGAATCCAGACCAAACTGAATCTTTGAATTGCTGCCTTTTGTAACATATTCAGATGTTGATATATCATCCACAAATTTCCAAATATCTATTTCGTGTGTTTTTATACATCAAGGTCATTTATCATGACCAAAAACAAAAATGGTCCAAGTTTAGTTCCCTGGGGTACGCCTGCTTTCATTGGCAACCAATCCGAGATTTCTCCCCCGAGTTTAACCCGATGTCGGCGATTAGTGAGGAAGTTGATAATCCAAGTTAACAGAGACGATCTGACACCTATGCCCAACAGCTTTGATATCAGTAAAGTATGCCCTATACGGTCGAACGCCTTTGCGAAATCAAGAAAGCAAAGTCTAAGATATCTTTCAGGAGATTCTAAATTACACAACCAGGTGTTGATCATATCCAGAAGACAATAAGTCGTTGACGTGCCTTTCAAACTTCCAAACTGTTTAGGGTCGATCTTGTCTTTAATATCAGTTATCATCCACCTGACCACGAAATCTTCAAGAACTTTAGACAAACAAGATGTCAGTGAGATGGGTCTAGTGTCACCTTCACAGGTAGGAGGTTGTGATTTTGGGATCGGTATAATGTCTGAATCTTTCCATATGGCAGGAACAATTCCTGATGTGAGTGATACATTGAAGATGGTTGCGACAGGCTCGGCTAGTTCGTAGGCGAACTCTTTTAGGATACGGCAAGGAATGTTATCTGGACCGTGGGCTTTAAAGGGTTTAACTGCTGACAATTTTTGAAATGCTGGAAGTGCAGTCAAGTCAAGTGGTGGAATGTCAATATTCACCGATGCATAGAATATATTCAAAACATTAACTAATTCTGATTGATCAAGGGCTCTTCCATCTTGTTCAAGCGAAAAGGAGTGATTCTTTTCGGATTTTTCACCCATTTTATTCACAATTTTCCACCACATGCGACAGTCATCTTTCTTTAAATGTTGCACCTTTGTTTTATAGTACGATATTTTCCTCGTATTGATCTTTTGCTGAACCTTATACTTCAGTGATCTCCATAAGGTTGTGTTGTGCCTATGAAACGCCTTCTGTCGGTCTTTGATAAGTTGTTTTATTGCGGGTGTTATCCATGGTTTATCGTTGTGATGACGAATTAGAGTCTTTTGTGGGAAAATTTGGTCGATACTTTCTGTTAACTGGTTTGTGAAAGAAACCGCTAGACAATCAACAGTAGGATTGGGAACAAGGTCACAAAACCAATCGTGTGTACTAATCAATCTACCAAAAGCATCTATCCCGGATTTAGGGTAGCGGCGTACTAAGGTTTTGACAGATTTCACTTGTATGTCGTGGTTAGAAATGCTATCGGCAGAAAGTAGCCAGTGTAGGATAATGTGGTCACTAGATCCTAATGGAGCGAGAACTTTAAGGCAATTATATAATTTATGCATATTTGTAAGGATAAGATCCAGTATTGCTGATTCTCTGGTTGGTTGGTCAACAACTTGTTTAAGATTTTGAGTGGTAGTTAAAGTTCGTATTTCAAAATCGTTGAAGTCGCCCAAGATTACTAGACCATGGTCAGGGTGCTTATTCCGAAGTTGGTCAATGGTATTGATTAAATAATCGTTGAGGTCGTTGTGCTCTGATACTGCCAAACCTGGCGGATGGTATACAACACAAATTGCTAGGCCAGAGAGAGGTCTGGGAAAGCGTTTAGGTCGTAGGTTAAGCCATAAGCATTCTAAATTTTCACTTTCTAGATCTACCCGTCGGATACAATGAATGTCGTTTTTGACAAAAACACAAACTCCCCCACCTCGACCAGTTGCACGATCTTTACGAAAAAAATTATAACCATTGATTGACAATAAGCTGCTGTCTATATGTTTATGTAACCATGACTCAGTTATTGCGATAATGTCGAAAGACTTGAGACTTACAAGTGCGATCAATTCATCAATCTTTGGCAGGAGCGAACGGGAGTTCAATAAAAAGAAGGATGGAAGCATCTCCTTTTTAGATCTTTTGTTAGCATTAGCAGTACAATTAAGAGTTCTGATATGGATTAGGTTGTGGGAGGGGATATAGCAATTTCTGTGTTTTTTATGTTGTTTAGGCGTTCTAGAACGGTCTGTGATATGTACGGGAATATTCACATCATAACTGGTTTTATTTGGCGTCGGTATTTCAAAATTAACAAATGACCACGCCGGGCACGAGAACCATGAAATTCGGAACGTTCGCCGGTTGGGCTAATCAGCGGTCGCGCGCGTGAAAATGCAAGTTCGCTTAACTTAAACAGCTGGGAAATTTGTTGTCGCT